GGGGGGGGGGGGGGGGGGGCGGGGAAGCTTTTGGGTTGCTGCTGTGTGAGTAGGGGGTTTAGAGAGCTCGTCGATATGCAAACCTGGGCGTAGCAAGATGTTCTGTGGTTCTGCAGTGTTTTCTACCGGTCAGTCCTATAGAACTTTGCTGAGGCACCCTACAAAACTAAGCTTCAGTGGGCAGGGCATTACGTAGAGCAGTTGAACATCCAGAACTATGCAAGTATGTGTACCTCTACATAGAGTTGCTATCTTCATGATCGAAAAAACAAACTGACAGAAAGTTCAAGGCAAACATCTTGTGGTATTAATGAACAAACACCAGCTTCATCATGGAAGTACACTAGAAGATCGATGTCACTTCCAGTAGACGACATCCTATGGAGTAGTGACCTATATCTGGCTCAGAACATCAGATGAAGCCGAGGCCACCGCGCGTGCTTTCGATTGCGACTCTGGGAGCTGGCATATGTAGTCCACCATATGCAGCCTGGCAGCACAGGACTTAGGGAAGCTCTCCAGGCTGCAAGGATCCTAGTTGGCTAGTGTAGCTAACAGAGTGTAGTCCTTCTGATTCTAGAGAGCAAGACAACAGCAGAATCTCCTCTGCAACTCCTCACACACTTTTAATGCATTGGAATGATATATGAGATTCGAAACAACATTATCATATTATTGTTAATTATGCATAATATATGTACATAGTATACATATTATAACTAATATGATAATGTTGCTTCGAATCTCATATTAAGTTAGGACCAAGAAACAACACCAATGGAGCCCCAAGTTGAAGAAGCAGCGTGGAGCAGCTTCGGCTCAATGCCAGGGGGTGGTGAGTCCAGGGCTGAGGTGCCATGGCACTTTCTAGATCTCGATAAAAGGACCTGTAATAAAAGGACCACAGTGGTGTCGGGGATCCAACGAGCCAAACATCTAGCTCTATCCAGGTCTGTGATGTAGGTGTCATACTAAGCACTACTTCGACCTATGATGCTGTAAGAACATCCTTCGGCTAGATCAATCCGGGAAATCAAAAAGCCTGACCAAAGCCACCGAAGTATACATACACTTTGGACAAGTGACTGACATGTTCGTGGAAGCATCAGTTGCAACTATTGCAGTAATGGTTTTGGCTCCACAGTGCTTCTCGATTGGGTGTCACGTCGCAGTGGCGCTGTGCCACAACGATCTACATCCTTCACCTACAGCTGCAAGGACCTTGACCACTGGTGGATATGTGAATTTAGATTACTCAAGTGCAGGCCCAGCCCGAGATTCTAGGTTGCTCGAACTTGATTCGGGATGGATTTCAAACCCTGCAGCACATCAAAATGAAGGACCTCCTAACAAAATTCGAGTTTGCTGGCTAAGAAGATCCCAAACTCTGTAAAAAGAAGCGAAGTCATCGCCCATCCGATGCTTCACAAGGGCAGCCACTTTGCCAGCACCTTTGCAAGCTCGAACCTCGGCAGGTTGTTTTTGTTGAGGGCCTGGGGTTTACAATGTAAACTGTTTCAGGTCTACCCATTTGACCATTGTACTCATGTAAATATTACTTATTGCTAATGTAATATTGCACTTCGAGGTTTCACTGCTTGGGTACCAAACTTTTGGGGTTGAGCTCTTCTGGGGTTGTCTCATGTTCGGCTTAAGGTTTAGAGGCCTCTTCAGGTTGTCGGGCTTTTAGTGCTTTAGGGTGTTAGGGCTTGTGTACAGGTACCAGGGTCCTGAGAATAGGGTACAGGGCTGTTGTGGTTTTGGGGGTTACAGGCTTAGGGTGTTTCAGGGCTTGAAACAAGGCGTGGGTTTTCAAGGGTTTAGGGATTTGGGCAAAGAACGATCCAGTAATTTCGCAATATGTCATCTTTATAGGATGAATGGGATAACTAAATTATATTATAATATATATATATACACATATGTATTCATGAATATGGAATGTCTGGACCTACAGACGATGCCTATGGACTTCGGGCCGAGCCCAGAGAGCTGTAGGGTCAGCAAGTTACATATCCAAACTTCGAAGCCTCTCTCTATGAAATCGTTCAGGGATTTAGGCTTTACGGCCTTTGGGGTTTAGGGTCTAGGGTCTTTAGGGTTTCGACTTTATAAGGGTTTAGGGCTTTTTAGGGTTTAGGGTTTAGGGTTTTCAGGGTTCAGCTTTTAGGGTTTTAGGGGTTTTAGGGTTTTGGGTTTGTAGGGTTTTGGGGGTGTAGGGTTTTAGGGTTGAACGAGTTAGGGTTTTGCTAGAGTAAGAAAAAATATAGATAAACATATAAATGTATAAATAAAGATATAGACATAGATATCTACATATACCACTCGGTCTGTCTACAGGGCCGTGCTTGCAAGGCTTAAGGGGCTCAGTGGTTTAAGGTGAATGATTTGGGGCTGCAGGGTACTCATTCTGAATTTAGGAGCTACCAATGAACAAGGATTGACTCCCTGACAGCTAGGTGCAGCTAGGTATGTCCCTGCGAAGCTGTACTTTGAAGGATTGTCTACAGCCCGAGGATGTGTTAGCACAGGACAGCTAAGGACCAGTCTTGGATTGACTAGGACTATAAACACGACAGAAAGGATCTCTAAAACGACTACATGTGGATTTCTAGAAATGATCAGTCCACATCTGCCATACCCCCCAGCACCTTACAGTTCTAGCTTCTGTATCCAAGCTTGTTTTCTGCTGCACTTAAGATGTTGCATGAAGATTTTAAAGGTTCAGCAGCAGGGGGGGATGGTGTGGGGGGGAGCCCCGATAGTTTGGGGGAGTGCCCCAAATGTCGATCCACTGTCATCGTGAGAGACTCTTGAAGGGTTTGTGATAGTGACTGCGGCAGAGATTGCAACAGTGACTGCGGTTGAGACGGTCTGTCGAATGTGTCAACCCACAGTCGCCGCATCGCCAGTGTGCGTTGCCAAGCTCGACCAGTGTTTTCAGGGAGCTCTCTGACGTGTTGTAGGATGCTTTCCAGTGGCTCAACATCCTCGAGGTTGCCAGGCTCCAAAACCCGTTCGCGTTCGGGCTGACTGAGTCAGTTCCACAAGATGATGACACAGATGCAAATTTAGGCTTCTGGTACTAAATGATTATATTAACCCAATTAAACCCAAAAGGGAGTTCTAACCTTAAGTACCTAACTCCTACACATTAGAAGATATGTCAGTATAATGTATGTATATTACCTAATTAGGATAACAAACAATAATAATGTGTATATATATATATATTTGTATTTATTTATGTTTATTTATATATATTTTTTGTATTCATGCATATATGTCAGGAAGTATGGAGTCCCTAGAACCCAAACATATCTACGAGATGCATCTCGCCCTTTGCACACCCTGAAATTGCTTATGAATTCAATTATATATATATATATGCATATACATGATATTAAACATCGTACATACCTTATACCTAGCATAACATACATGCTTATACAGGAGGTAACCCGTAAGGATCTCCTCGAATACGACATGAGACCTCTAAACACACTTCTTCAACCCGAAACTGGACAGGCCTAAACCCCCCCCACCGATCCCCCTAAAGGCACCATCTACGTCTAGTCAGAATGGCTTCGAAGCGAATAAGGAGTATGAACATCCTAATCCTATAATTTCAGTTCTCAATTGAAGATGTGTATCTACAGCAAGGAAGTTGGTGCCAACACAAGCCCTGATTATTATAATAACTCTTATCAATAATAACTGTCCTCAATGAGCAAACCCTCCAAATCTCGCAACACCAATGCAAACCCCTAGGTCCCTAAACTCTAAACCCTATAGGAGCACTAGCAACCTGCAGCCTTATTCAGGGCCAGCTCCGCTGCCGATGCTGCGCGCATCAACGTGGCTTGATCTCGACAAGAGTCTTAAGTCTTAGCTAAGTAGGGCGCTATAATCATTCAACCACAATTCTTCCCTTCTAAGCCCAGGAATGTAGACCAGCAGAAGCCTCGAATAAAAGGTGTGATCCCGTTTAGTTTAGAACCGAAAAAGGTGAAACCACGGATCTAATCTATTACAGCCACCGAAAAGGAAGAAGCCCCTTCTTGCATGCCTCCCAAAGTGACACACATCATCCTAGATGCTTCTACTTCAGTGATGCGACTCCTGCAGAGTAAAGACTTCTGACCATCCTAATAGAAGCAAGGGCACCATAGACCATCCCAAAGCCGAGTCTAAGCCCTGGGCCAAAAACCCTATGATCCTTGAAACCCTTGCAAACCTGGTCAAGTGCTACTACAGAAGACCATGAGGTGATTCCTGTCCATGAAGACCCCAGGCATCCCCTAATAGAAGCGGCGAGACTGCTGAAGTTACTGCATTGTTATTTTGAACGGCTACCTCTTGCTTAATATAATCTTAAGACCGATCCTACCTAGGGAGTGTCAGGTCTAGAATTAGAAGCCATTGTGTCTATTTTGAAACACTTGGGCTGCCACGCTGGCTGGATGCCACCATGTCGGGTCCACCCGACAGTCACCCCTTTCACGTTGACCTTGGCATGGATCACATTCAGAGTAGAGGCTGGAAGGTTTAGGTTCTAAGTCCAAGAGCCCTGGAGCCACTTATGCTCATAAGCTTATCTTCTTAATTCTTAGCTTAGCTCACGCTTGATTCTGCTATCATGTGTCACAGCAGCACTGAACCTCCTAGTCGGGCCAAAGAAAGACACAGGTCGTGATCCTCAATCTGGATCAATGCATGTATTGTTGTAACGTATATAAGTACTATTTATATACTTACTAGAGGAACTACCTAAGTTTCTGAGGTCGAATAACCCGTTGCCCCTGAATCCCTTCAACACCTCCCTACCTTGGCAAGGAACCTTCACATTGATGCCTCGTTTCTTCGCGACTGCCGCCCCGAAATCTTTGTCCACCGGCTCCACGTAGAAGGAGCCAGCTTTGCTGGCTGTCTGCAGGACCCTTGGCAAATGTGGAGGGGCCATGAGAAAGGGACCCAGCTCATACAATTCTGAGTACTGATCGACTGCTTGGATGCCTCCTAGAGTTCACTGCTGAGTATGTGACCTCACACCAATCCGCGCTACCTTCACATCTTCTTTTTGGTAGGACTCGGGCAGGTAGAGGCTGAAAGACCTGGGACTCGAAGTGCCTAGTAAGTATAATACCATTGTGGGAGCCTTTTACACCAAACTCGAGTTTGGATGTCCTTAGACCAGAGCTTGTTCACTTCGGTGAGGTCCGGCAGCTCAATCATATCATCCTTCGTAGCAAGATCTTTGACCATTTCCAGGTTGCTGACCTGATGGAATGACAGGAGGCTTCTTGGAGCGCATGTCACATTCTCGCACAAGTAGTGCACATCTGTAAACGTGATACTTGTAGAGTACGACATTACATGTGTATGTCGATTAATACCATGTATTTGATCTGGTTTGTGATACAGTTGTCTGATATACATACATATGTGCTGTGAATACATACATATATATATATGTATATATATCAGAAAATACTAGTTACTCGACGGCAGAAGCATACATATCCAACATATATATCCACATAATATGTGTATACATTTACACACAGGCATGTGCATCGAAAACAAGTCATGTCTTGGCCACATCAACTTGAAGTAAGTCTGTGTCGTTATGCGTTCATGCAACAAGTACACATGGTCGCGAGATGTGTATGTCTGTGCAGAAAGAGACATCCATACTCCAAGACAGCATGCAGCTATACATTTTATGCATGCATGCATACTACATGAATGAATGTATGTCTGTCTGTCTGTATGTATGTATGTATGTATGTATGTATGTATGTCTGTAGGTATGTATGTATATGTGTATGCATGTGTGCATGTATGTATCTATCTATGTATGTCTCTGTGTGTGTTGCTATGTAAATAAAAGCTTCCATATGTATCTCTAGATATACATATATATATATGTTTATGTATGTATATATGCATGTGTACATATATAATATATATATATATATACATACACACATATGTATGTGTGTAAGCATGGGGGGGGGGTATTGTCGGTATACAGCTCAAGACATGTACATGTCTCTATCTGTGGTTGCCTATATGTTGAATTGGGTAACCTGATGTTACTTTGTCTCACTTTGGATACGGTCTCTGCACATGCGTACACAAAAATTTTAAAACAAATAGTTGTGTCTGTCTCTCTGTATGTCTCAACATATTCTGTAACAAAATGTATGTGAGCAGGCATGTCTGCTTGTCTATGCCTTTACATGTGTATGTATGTGTGCATGTGTACGTATGCATGGACATTGGTCTATAGATGTTGTGCTCAGTATAACTACATACACACACACATATATATATATATACATACCGAAAACACATAATATCCTGCAGAATGTAATATGTGTATATCATATATATATATATGCATACATATATATATATGTATATATGTATATATAAATAGATAGATGTATAGATATACACATGCAAACAAAGGCACACTTGGCGACATCATGTATGTATACATGCATACATAAGTAAATAAATATATATATATATACATATACATATTTGTGTATATAGATACCTGTACACTATCAATCTTTACTTGTGCATGATCAGCCATGCATGAAGTACATATGCAGTAATGCATGATATGTTGACATCTCGGAAGACTCTAACAGATGAAGTGCGGCAAGTCACCCTTGCAGCCACTTCGTCTTCTGTCAAACCTTCCTCAAAGGCCTTGGCTTTCATCTCCAGGTCCTTGTCAGGCTTCCCCTTGGGCTCCATCTTTTCATCTGCACCAGGCTTCACGTCCTTGGGCTCCATCTTTTCATCTGCACCAGGCTTCGTGTCCTTGGACTCCTTCTTTTCATCTGCACAAGGCTTCGCGTTCTCGGACTCCTTCTTTTCAGCTGGATCAGGCTTCGCCTTCTTAGGGGAGCCATGTTGCAGAATCAGTCGTCTGTGCGACTTCTTTCGCTTCAAAGACTTCTTGCGCCTCAGCTTGCCAGAGCTGCCGGCCTTTTCTGCCTCAGCGTCTGCCAAGGCCATGTCTTCGTCACCATCATTTGACACTGCTGTCTCTGGCGCTTGCGGCTCCTCGGCCACTGCTGCAGGCTCGTTGTCTGCAGTAGCTTTATTCTTCTTGGGCGTTCCCCTGCCACGCCCGCCTCGGCCACGTCCTCGTCCTCGACCACGCTTTTCCTTCTTTTTGGCTTCCTTCTCCTCTTCCTCTTCTCTCAGGAACTTGTCGGGGTCCTCCTGAAAATCTTCTGCTTCTCTGGCTTGCTTTCTCATGACGGCTTGGGCCTGTGCCACGAAACTTTCATCGAAACACATGGGCAGGTACACCAACTATGATCTGCAAGCACCCGTGGCCCAGCCTTCAGCAGGTCCACGGCCTGCTGCTGCTCTGCAGCTTCTGCTTTCTGAGCAAGAAGCTCCTGATCATTGTCCAGCACGGGGATGGCCTTCACCAAAGGTTCTCGCTCCTGATCGGAGAATAATATACACCATGGGTTTTAACACATATATATATACATATATATATATATATGATTTTTGTATGTATATATATGCATACAGTCCTGAAACTTGGCATGTTTTCGTATGTTCCATCAGTATTACAGGGAGACTGGGCATGGAAGTAACAACAGGAGGCAGAAGCCACGACACAGGAATGCCACGGCTTGCTTCATTATGATAGGTTAGCTATATTAGGTCGAGCCAAATAGAGATCGAGATCTATAGACATAATAACCTTGCAATTTTTATAGCACTGTTCTGATCCATACAGTGTAGACACAGACATGCACAAGATCCTTTAGCAGCGTCCTGTGGAGTATGTGACGTGAAGTTTTCAGTTCAGACTTCACATAGATCCATGGGCAATGTTACAAACCCTATAGTTGTATAAGATGTATGTTTCCGTGCCAGAAACCCACATATGTATATATATATATATGTATACATATGCAGATTCAATCTATGTGTAATGCATTGGTGTCTGTGAGAGTGTATCTGTTCATGCCATGTTTCATTTTCTAATATTAAATTCTACTTAGAAAAGATCTTAAGAGAATATGAAATATAAAAGGAAAACGGACACACACACACATATATATATATAAACACACTCATTGTATACATGCACATATACATGCACATATACATATACATACACATATACATATACATATACATATATAATATACATATGCATATATACATATACATATGCATATATATATATACATGTGTATGTATATTGCTTATTTAATATGTATATATATATATGTATAAATATATGTATATATCATGCACATGTATACACATATATATATATATGTGTGATCATTCTAGATATGTATAAAACATAAACACATACAGACAAAAAATATCTAGATTATATAGAACGATCCTACAAAATATAGATATATATATATAACGGTGTATACATGTGTATATATATACATATGTATATATCATATATCATATATATATATCATAGATCCTATATACATTGCTGCCATATCATGAAAAGAGTCTGTGGACATAGCTCTAACCCAGGCCTTCACGGAACCTTTGAGCTCATCTTTGCGAGTCATGCCCGCCTCCCTCTCGTCCATGTTCTCCTCCTCATCCTCCTCCTCCAAATCCTGCAAGATTTGGAAGCCTTCGCTTTCTTTCTGCACGGACGCAAAGTCTAGCGCAAGTCGCACCATGTCCTCCTGAGTAGGTCGGGGAACATCCTCTGCCTCAAAGTGGACTGTCGCATTGTCGTCCTCACGGCCCTCTACAGGTGAGGGAGGCCTCTCCAACATACACTCGACCTGGTCATCATGGAGATCGACGGGCTGCACGAGCTCATCATCTGTTGGGCTCTCTTCTTCGTGGCCCTCCTGCTCGCTTGAGCTTGAGCTCTCTGCTAGCGAAGCCGCCTCCTCCTCCAAATCCTCCGGCTCCTCAACGAAGACTTGCGTCTCGTCTGTATCCAGACAAACCTCTTGCCTCTTCTTCATCTCTGCTTCCTGTCGCTCCTGACATGTTCGAAGCTGGAAAGCAAGGCGACAAATGCACTGCATTGGCTGCACTTGTCGTTGGGTGCATACAACATTGAGTGCACATGCATCACTGATTCAGTAGTTCTAGCATCACCCAGTAGAAAGTGCCAGCGACTGGAACGAACGACCACTCGGCCTTTGCCAATGCCAACTTCTGCTTGGCTGCTGAGGGCCCTCGAGTGGCACGCTTTTTCCCATTGGGTGTCAGCATTCCAGCTTCCTGGGAGGAACCACGACCAGTCAATGTAAAGTAACGGACTTACAGACATATACACATACACCAATACATGTCCACTCCAAACAAGCAGTAGCCAGAGACTGCAAGTGTTTGCACAGCAAAACTGCCTACCTTGCGAATTGCTGCTAAACACGCACACACATGAAGCCAAATCAGCTCAAGCACCTGCAGCCGAAGTCGCACCACATCCTTCAGGTCCTTGATGCGGGGATGGCTCTTCCTGTGCAAGGTAGTAAATAATGTTATATAGTAGAAAGAAACAACAAATAGTACTTATTATTCCTTCAACTTTTGGGCAAGTACCTTATTACATAAGAGAAGCAATTGCGCTCGGTCGACCAGAGAGAGAGACGGCCCAAGGAAAATAGAAAGAGAGAAGAGTTCAGATTTCATGGACCAGACATATTCACACACACACACATGTGTCTCCATGTCGTTGTCTGTGTGTGTGTGCATGTGCGTCTGTGTGTTTTTGTCTGTGTGTGGGTGTGTCTGTGTCTTTCTGTCTGACTGCTTTGGTTCAAGGGCATGTACAGGTCCTTGTTCGTTATTGTACATATAGCTATATAGTGTTATCCAATACATGTAAATATGTATACATGTTTTACTAACAGCATATATATATATAGATATATAGATATATCGTGCACTTTGCTTGAGCATTCTGACACATGGCAAATTTATCATGCCACACAATTAATGAGTTATCGCATTATAGCCTCATTTTGCACGTGTACACATACAAACATACACAGACATATATCTGGAGCATATATGTACATATATATATATAGAGCATCATATTTGCATCCTCTGTGCATCCAATATTTTTTTGTCGATGATGGCCGAAGAATAAGACATAGAAAAGGAAGGACACATGTTTGCGTGTATCGATCTATGTGTCTATTAATATTGTTTATACATGTGTATATATATATACACATACAGAGATCGTCCCGAAGACTTCGGAGCTTCTCATAGAGTTTGATGCTAGTGTTCTAGTACAGCACATGCCCATAGTAGCACCATGTCATGTGTATATACAACCAATTTAATATATATATATATGTATACACAATGTATACACACACATATATATATAATGCATATATGTATATACATGTAGATATTTGTACATATATATATATTAATTTGTTTGTAAAGTAACATTGATAAGAGTTTGAGTCCAATTCTGTATCTCTATCTCTAGCAAATATGCGTACTTCAGATAAGTATGTTCTCAGAACCTAATCGAAACGGACATCTATATGCTGCATATACACTTAGGTGTGTATATACATATATATATATATGTATATATATGTGTGTGTGCATATACCGTTTTCGTGTGTACATCAACAGCTGCCATCTGATTTCTGGCCTCACTCCCTTGTTCCGCTGGAAGCGCTCCATTACATAGGAGCGAAGTGCCAAGTGAAGCAACGCTTCCTTTTTCGCCCAGGCCTGCATGCAGGCAACTGCTCCCAGAAACACAGCGGCAGCTTGACCATTTGCAACGGATACGAAAGCAACTGAAGTATCACACGTGATGAAGTCCCTCCCAACCTCATGCTCCCATGCTTCTGAGAAGTGCGGGTTCAGGTCAGACATGACACTGGCAAAGTGGAGAGCTTCCTGCGATATCCATCCATGAGAAGGAAGGCTTGCTGCAACACACACACACACATCACAGGGAACATGCTTGCACAAAAGTCCTGGACCTCTCGCGGTGTCGGGGGGTCGGCTGCAAACACAGCCATAAAATCCAAAGCAAATTTATAGTTGCCTGTCTCCTCCACCTCGGGCTGAAAAAGATCGCTCTACTCAGTCTGGGCAAAAAAAAAGAAGCCATCCATAACACATGAGCAGCCAAGATGCTTCGACCGAGCTGATCTTGTTTGTTGTCAAGTTGAGGAAGGAGAACTTCGGAATCTGAGATGAAACAACAGTGGTGAACAGGATAATGTCTACAGTAAGGCGCCACAAGTAAGGTGAACAAGAGTTGAACTCCCGTCAAGAAGAAACAACACACGCGTTTACATTCACACCCACATTGTCGTAGGGGGTAGCGGGGTAGCTATCGTATAGCAGAAGTATATAGAAACATAGACATGTATGTGCATGTGCATGTATGCATATGCACAGAAGACAGCAAACAAAAACATGAACAGTTTATGATCCTCACAAGTGCAAATCAAACTTACGTATACACGCACATGGATGCTATACATGCTAGCATGTGGAGTCTGCGTGCACCTGCAGATCTAAACTTAGATCTTCTTCTGCACTTCTAATGCATTGAACTGGACATACATAGGCCAGCATACTGGAACCTGGTACATACATAGTTACATACATGCATGTGAATATAATCATATATATACATATACATATACATGTGCATAATGTACATACAAATGGATATTCATCTTATTATTTCAAAGAGAAACCACAAACAAGAGTAATAAATTGCAAAGAATGACTATACTATTATAATTCGATCTAACTTCCTTCAATTCAAAATAAAGAAATCAACATGCACACATATGTGTGGGTGTGTACTTATCTAAATAGATCTACATCGACATGTGCGTGTGTATATATATGTGTGTTTACCTCTCTGTCCCACATGACTCGACCGTATACAAAGGCTGCATGCTCATGGACATACAGCATGCCCACTCACATGTATCACATCATCTATCCGGTTCAACAAATGGAGTGCTTCAGTTCGTTTATATAGTCCTATGACACCTCGACCGGTGGACTACATGTCTCTGGATATACAAATGTAGATGCATACCACTGTTGGCTCTCTCTGCCTGCTGGCTGGTGGCCCGAGGGTCCTCCGGCTTAAGCCCGAGCCGAATGCGTTGAAGACGGCGCCGCTCGTGCACATAGTGCCGATCGGCAGCAAACTCCATGTAGAAATCCTGCAAGAACGATAGAGACAGTGTAACACCTTGAGGCCCTTTGAACCTCTAGCCCATCCATGCACCAGCCGGCCCATAAACAATCCTTGAGGCACTGCACACGCTCGTCATTCATCTCGGTCTTCGGCATTGTGGCAGTGGCACCGGTTAAAAAAATGAATCCCTGGGACAGTGCATGTGTGGACCACTCGCCCCGAGAAATACATAGTGGGTTATGATCTAGAACCGATCTAGAGCAAAGGCTACATATATACAGCTAGTTTTGTTATGCATGTTTCCGAAAGGAGCTGCAGGGATTCCTTACTATATTTCATTGCCTCGATCCCTCATAGTAGCAGACTAGTACAGGTCGACACTTTGAAGCCCAAGCTCTGATCCCCAAGTCTACGATGTCTATAAGGCTCTGAGTCAAGCAACACCGTCATCGTTCGGTCTAGCTGCCTAGAGCTAGTTCTCAATTGCTACCATCCTATCATGTCTGCACAGTCTTGAAGCTGTAAACTCGAAGCGGCAGTCATCAGCGTTGCGCAGACGGCTATGTTGGACCGAACAGCAAGCCGAAGTGAGTACAACCCAGCAATTGAAAATGACAGTTGTCTGGGGGAGGTCGCACTCTGGTGGGAGGTGGCATAAGGCAGAATGTCGTACTTCTCCAAGGCATCTGTAAAGCAGGGCGACACACATCTACCACACAGAGGAGTTGACACAAAGGGGGGTGTTTTAATCCTGTAACGTAAGGCGGCGACGTTCGCCCAAAGCTCGCTTCATACTCTCTGATCCTCATGATGTCCTGGGATGCTATGGGTTTTTTTTGGACCTATACATCAATTCAGGCTGACCATGTGGCAACAGCTGTCATCTTGATATTGCTTACGTGCAGCTTGGGAACAGTGCTGAGATTCGGCTTCTCTGCCAGGACAAAGTGCAAAGGCTCTGCATTGCATTGGGCCCACTCTAACATAATTAGGAACATATAAAAAGTTTCGATTGTTTGAATATTTATGTGAATCGCACAGTGCTATGCACACAGCAAAGTGCATGCATACACCATATTCCGTTTCCACGTGAAGCTGCATTGGTAGACACTGCAAGTTCACATGAAGGGGATACTTTTCCATGCACCACAGTTGGATCTGATCTAGTAGCTGCTGGGTGCACCGACACTGTCCCGACAGCATGGATTGTCACTTTTCCCCCACGAGCAGCAACACCTCGGCAGGATACAGTGGTGAGGGAGCTTTCGGACCCCAAAACCCCCACCGAAATTAGCAAAAGACGGTTTCTTAGCTAAGACTGTTTCTGAAACGGGCGTGGAGGCCCAGGGGAAAGAGTAAGATGAGCCTAGGAATTCTGGAAGTGTTGGATAGCATGAGCAAAACAGTCCGCAAGTCTGCGATGAGATGTCACGTACATACAACACAGCAACCTACATGCATACTTGTTCGGTCGTGCATGCTATCATGACTTCGAAACCTATGTCATGAGTTTGTCGGTTTTGTTCATGAAAACATGGATGTATCATCGAACTGTCCGATTAACCAAGCAACCACCCAACCATCATTAATATAGAAGCCCAAACAATTACCAATATTATTCCGTAGGGCTCCTTCTTATAACCATACCAGGCAGGAGCCCCAAATCCCATTCTAATTATTCAGGCCCCTACATTAGGCACGTGACTTGCCGATTCGGTCCTAGACCCTAAACTCTAAACCCGCTCATCAAGAAGCTGGGAAGTGAAAGAGGTCGCTGGACTAATACAGGGGCCTTAACAATTAGAATAGAGGCTTGGGGGTATATCGGTATATCATACTACAACAAAACAAGGAACCTCCTAAAGCAGTATAGGCAATTCTTTAGGCCCCTATATTGAGTCCAGTAGGAGAACAGGAGTAGGGACTGCTGTTGCCTGAGGTCGTGTCACAAAGCGCATCCGGCGCAGAACCCAGAATTTTGGCAAGCTGCGCCTAAACCCTACATGCGGCGTAACCCATGCTCCGTCCAGCGGCACGTGGTTTTTTTACGGATGTGACCGGGATTTTCAATGCCTCGTCTCGGGAGTTTAGGAGCAAGCGAAGGGCCTCGGGGGGACTAGAATAGCTGGTCATTTGGGGCATCCCAGCAATTCAAGTAAAGCCCTAGGCCCTAGGCAAGGAGTGTCCGAGGAGTGCACCAGCACGAACATTAGGAATGTATATGTCCTTACAGCTATGCTGATAGAGAGAAGGCTCTTGCAGCCTCCCGGTACCAGGTACCAGTAGCGACTGATGCTGCTGTGTAGATCTCGTTGTCCTTCCCACAGACTTTGTCTGCATCACAAGTGCACTCTGTCCTTTGCGTTTCAACAAAAAAGTGGCCCTAAAACACAACCTAAATTCCTAACAAAGGGTTCTTATCCTATCCACCCCCCCAAATCAGACACCTTCCTCGAGAAGCCCCACATTGCAACGAGGTTCGCTGTCTGGCCTCTCCGCGTGCGTGGATGTTCCAGCTCATGTCTTAGCACTCCTTCCTTCGCCTCTTTTCCGGAGGTTGCTGCTCGTACCACCCAAAACCATAAACCCTAAACTAAACCCTAAACCCTAATTAACGAAGAAACCCGAAACGCTCACCCTAAAATTAAGCCCTCACACTGAGGAGCCCAGCCCTGTTGGCCCTAAACTTATACCCGGACCCCGACATGATAAACTTAAAGCGGAAGCACGCCGTCCTTAGCTTGGGGTCACGAGCTCAGGGCGTGCTCTACTCTCCTCTACTATACTGGATCCTTGTTTGCTACAGTTTTACATTTTTGTGATAATAAACACCCATTAAGGATTAAAAATGATCATTTTTTAACATATATAGCCCCAACAGGGAACCTGTATACCATGCCATCCTGAAGGACTTTGAAAGCCAGGAGCCTGAAGCCCCACCAAGGCACGAAGCCCTGGTGCGCGCGCTCATCCCCAGTAGGATCTTCGCTCTGAACAGGGCCACCCGGAAGCCATCCTAGATCGGAAACATATAGGGTACCCTAAACCCCAACCCCTGAACCTAAACCCT